AGGAGGAGGAGGAGGAGGAGGAGGAGGAGGAGGAGGAGGAAGATGAGGAGGAGGAGGAGGAGGAGGAGGAGGAGAAGGAGGAGGGGGAAGGGGAGGGGGAGGGGGAGGAGGGGAAGGAGGAGGAGGAGGAGGAGGAGGAGAGGTCATCGTTCATCGGCAGGAAGATCTCGGGACGATCCCGATCAGCTCCCGGCAGGAGGTTGCCAGGCATTGCAGCAACGCCTGGGACAACACCACCGAGATGGCCCGCCTGTCGTCCTCGGAGCGGCTGCGGAACAACTCCTCCGTCGCCGAGATGGCCCCGACCCTCGTGCGCCTGCAGAGGTCCGTCAAGTGGCTGAACGAGAGCGCCATGCTCGAGATCGAGCGTGAGCTGTCCTTTGGCTTCGGCCTCTTCGGCCCCAAGCTGACGGGCAACCTCGGCCCCAGAGCACCCGAGCCTCCGCCCCAGGCGGCAGCCACCAGCGGCGCGCAGCGCGAGGACAGCTTCACCTACGACGTCGTCGTGCTCGGCGCGGGGCCCGCGGGAGTCGCGGCGGCGGAGGCCGCCGCGGAGCGCGGGCTGCGCTGCGCACTGGTGGAGCCGCGCCGCGACGGCATCGGCACGGCCACCGGGTTCAACTCCAAGGTTCGGGGGGAACGACGAAGGGCAGAAACATGAAAGCACAAACTCGGAGGTCCGCGCGGATTTCTCGGATCGGCGCTGGGGCCCCCCTTTCCTGGCGCCTCCTGCGCCGCCCCATTCCGCGCGCTCCGCGCGCCAGGGAGGGGGTCCAGCGCGTATCCGAGAAACCCGCGCGGACCTCCGAGTTGTTCTGTTTATGTCGGTCGTCGCTCCCGCAAAGGTGGCCCACCTGATGATCTCGGAGGCGACGGGAGGCGCCTGGAGCGGCGCCGGGGCCGCGCCCACCCCGGAGGTCTGGCGCACGCTGGCGCGGCGGCGGCGGGAGCAGGCCTCCGCGTACGGCGCCCGCGCCGAGGAGCGCCTGGCCGCCGCGCGGGTGGCGGTGATCCGGGGCTGCGCGAGGTTCCTCGGGGAGCACAGCATCCTGGTGTCGGACTTCGACACCGGGGAGGAGGGGCCACGCGAAAGTCGGGGCTCAAGCGACGGGGGTCAGTGCAAACGGGGGTCAGCCAGAGCGACGGATCTTGCAGGGTCCTGCAGGGCCAGGGTCGCATTGACCCTGGCTTGGGTGCAGGATCTTGCAGGATCCTTCGCATTGACCCGGGCTTGGGCGCAGGATCTTGCAGGATCTTTCAGGATCCTGTAAGGCCTGGTTGACCCAGGTCTGGATTGACCCTGGTCAGAAGACCCCCCAAGAAAAAGAGTGGCCTTTCGCCGGAGCGAGCTCTGGCGCTGGCACGCTGGGGTCCCCAGATGGCTGCAAGGGGCGCGACGGCAGCGGCTGGCGCGCTCGGGTCTGGCCCCGCCCCCCCCCCCCCGCCCTCCCCCAGAGCCGCGCACCCACGGCCACGCCTGCCTAGGGCCACTCCTGCTCGGATGTCGCTGGAAGCGCCCCCGGCCCAGGGTGCCCCCCAGGAATTCCGGGGAGGCCGCCCCCACCGCCTCCAGGGCACCCCATCTCGAAGCCAAGGGCCCCAGGGGCTCCAAAATGAAGCGAAAAAGCTGGGGACCCCTGAGGCCAGGGGCCAGGGGTATTCCAGATTTCGTAATAAAAGGGAGGGGGTCTGGACCCTCCAAGACAAGCCATTTCAGACCTCCCCCGTGGGAGAACCCTCCAAAACATCGTCCCCAGACCCCCCAGGCCCTCCAAGATAGCCTGGAAGAGACCCCCCCCGAGTTAAGACCCCCCTCCCTTTACTACGAAATCTGGAGTATCTTTAGCAACCCCCGAGCAGCCCCTGACCTGCGTGTAGCCCAAGAGGAGTCCGAGATCACGGGCGGGTTCATCGTCGTGTGCACGGGCGCGCGCCCGCGGCACCCGGCGCTGTGCCACGTGGACGGGCGCGTCATACACGACTACAGGACCATCGAGGAGCTGGGCGCCGACGAGCTGCCCTCCTCGCTCGTGGTCCTGGGCGGCGGCATCATCGCCTGCGAGACGGCGAGCCACATGGCGGCGCTGGGCGTGAGCACGGCGCTCCTGGCGCCCGGCGGCCTGCTCAAGAACCTCGACGCCGACGTCGGCAGCGCCGTCGAGGCGCACCTGCGCGAGCGCCGCGGCGTGAGCATCGCGGTGGGATGCAAGGTTCGGGCAGCGCCAAGAGGGGTTACCACTGGGGGGGCCCGCGCCTCCTCTTGGAAACCAACTTGGCATCGCTCGGACATGTGCACGTTTCTCGGCGAGGCCAGCGACAGAGAACCTGGACCGTCTTGGAGCGCCTCGGGACTGTCTCGGGAGCAAGCACGCGCGAAGCCACACCCACACAGGCAGCGCACGGGGACCGGACGCCCGAGCGATGGCGAGGCAAGGATCGAGGCGAGGGGGGAGGAGGAGGAGGAGGAGGAGGAGGAGGAGGAGTAGCAAGTGAGAGGAGAGGAGGAAGTAGAGGAGGAGGGTAGAGGAGGAGAAGGATGGAGAAGGAGGAGGAGGGGGGAGGAGGAGGAGGAGGGGAGGAGGGAGGAGGAGGTCCTCCTCCTCCTACTCCTCCTTGCTCCTCCTCCTCCTACTCCTCTTCTCCCTCCTCCATTCTCCTCCTCTCCTCCTCCTCTACTCTCCTCCTCCTCCTCCTCCTCCTCCTCCTCCTCCTCTCCCCTCTCCTCCTCCCCTCCTCCTCCTCCTCCTCCTTCGTCTCCTCCTCTCCTCTCCCTCTACTTCCCTCCTCTCCTCCTTCCTCCTCCTCCTACTACTACTACTACTACTACTTCCTACTACTACTACTACTACTGCTAACTACTACTACTACTACTACTACTACTACTACTACTACTACTACTACTACTACTACTACTACTACTACTACTACTACTACTACTACTACTACTACTACTACTACTACTACTACTACTACTACTACTACTACTACTACTACTACTACTACTACTACTACTACTACTACTACTACTACTACTACTACTACTACTACTACGCCGACGACGACGACGACGACGACGACGACGACGACGACGACGACGACGACGACGACGACGACGACGACGACTACTACTACTACTACTACTACCCTCCTGGTGGCGACGCCTCTTGCCAGTGCCCAGAAGGTGAAGACAGTGGTTTCCGACGGCGCCCGCGCGGTTGCCGAGCTCGAGGACGGCTCCGAGATCACGGCGGAGGTCGCCGTGGTGGCCTTGGGCAGCACGCCCAACACCGAGTGGCTCGGCCTCGAGGCAGTGCCGCTGAAGCTCGACGCCCGTGGCGCCATCGAGGTGTCTGGGAAATTTAAGACTCGAGTACTCCAGAACTCGGGTTTGACGACGCAGTTTGACGAGCGCGTCCTGGATTTTGACGGTCCAGTTTCCGTGGGAGATTTGCAGCGGGAGTGCGCGTCAGATTTCAGAGGGGGTTCGTCAGTTTCATGATGTCCCCGTCAGGCCAACCCGAGTCCCCGGAGCCCGAGTCTTATGTCTCCCCGAAGGTGGACGGCGACATGAGAAGCAGCGTGCCCCACGTGTTCGCCTGCGGGGACTGCTGCAGCCGAGGGGGCCTGCTAAGCCAGGCCAAGCAGCAGGGCCTGACCGCGGTCTCCGCCCTGCACCGCGACCGCGGCCGCGTGCTGTCTGCGGCCCCCTCCAGGGACGCCCCCTCGGTGATCTGGACCGTGCCGGAGGTCGCTTCCTGCGGCATCCGGGGGGGGCGCGCTGGCAGTTTCGACGTGGTGACACGCTACACGGACTGCGATCGAGGCTTGTTTCAGCGCGCCGACCAGGAGTTCTTCCTCAAGATTGTGTATGAGCCACAGGGCTTCCCCGCAAAGGTGTACGTCCGCGGCGTGCACATCTTCGGGCCCCAGGCAGAGCAGCTCGTCGCCAGAGGTGCTGAGCTGATCGGCAAGTCCATCGATGAGGCCATGGAAGCGACCGCAATGCCCGCTGCGGCCACCTTAGAGGAGATGTACACAGTGAACCTCCGCAGCGCCGCAAAACGGACCGTGGACGTGCAGGCTCAGAGGCCAGACGGCGGTTGCGCTGCCATGTGAGCAGCGCTCGGCGCGCACAGTGGACCATGGAGCGAAGAGAAAACCCGCCTCTGTCCTCATCCGGGCCAGAGGGTGCGTCTGACGTCAGTGAAGAATGGGAATTCGTGTGCGCCTGGCCTCAGATCGCCTCTGGTTGGCACTACCCCTACGAGGGACCTCACCATGTCATGGTTACCTCCAGGTAAACTCGCCCGATGGACGCCTCCACCGGCCAGGTGGCCGCACGAGATCTGATGCCGCTATGTGCCGCAAGAGCGGGCCTGAGCCCTTCCCGACAGCAGCAGGGGGGGTGGGGAAGGACGAGGAGGAGGAGGAGGAGGAGGAGGAGGAGGAGGAGGAGGAGGAGGAGGGGAGGAGGAGGAGGAGGAGGAGGGGGAGGAGGAGGAGGAGGAGGAGGAGGAGGAGGAGGGAGGAGGAGGAGGAGGAGGAGGAGGAGGAGGAGGAGGAGGAGGAGGAGGAGGAGGAGGGGGAGGAGGAGGAGGAGGAGGAGGAGGAGAAGGAGGAGGAGGAGGAGGAGGAGGAGGAGGAGGAGGAGGAGGAGGAGGAGGAGGTGGAGGAGGAGGAGGAGGCGGAGGAGGAGGAAGAGGAGAAAGAGAGGAGGAAGAAGAGGAGGAGGAGGAGGAGGAGGAGGAGGAGATGATGATTCCCCGAGCGGTGCCTGCACTCGTGGGCTCCTCCCTGCGCTCGAAGGACGCGGTGGCGACTGCCGGTGGGCGCGGCCCGGCGGGCCCCCGTGGCCGCGGCCGCCTCGTCCTGGCGCTGGCAGCTCCAGGCGGTCGGCCCATGGACGCCAGTGGCCGCCCCGTGGCCAGCTCGAATCTACTGATGGGCCGATGCTCCACCACCACCGCCACCATAGGTAGGAGGGGGAGGAGGAGGAGGAGGAGGGAGGAGGAGGAGGAGGAGGTGGAGGAGGAGGAGGAGGAGGGGAGGAGGAGCAGGAGGGGAAGGAGGAGGAGGAGAGGAGGAGGGAGGAGGAGGAGGAGGATGGGAGGGAGGAGGAGGAGGAGGGTGAGGAGGAGGAGGAGGAGGAGGTGGAGGAGGGGAGGAGAGGAGGAGGGAGGAGGAGAGGAGGAGGAGGGAGGAGGAGGAGGAGGAGGAGGAGGAGGAGGAGGAGGAGGAGGAGGAGGAGGAGAGGAGGAGGAGGAAGAGGAGGAGGAGGAGGAGGGGAGGAGGCGGAGGGGGAGGAGGAGGAGGAGGAGGAGAGCTACCCCATCGTACCCATGGTAGTGGTGGTGGAAAATTGGCGAATCATCCACTGCACAGATCGCACCACGCACGTCCTCTGCCCTAAGGACTCTGAGGCTCTCCCCCCATGCCGAGGCCGATTTTCACGATTCACATTCGCGCATCGGTTGTCCTGGTCTGTTCTGCGCGATCGCCCATGCTCTCCAAATAGTGAGTGCTACCATTTAGGGGGTCCTATGTCTTGTTATCGAGCAATGATTCACGCTTCGCGTATCCCCACCAGCCCATTCAGAGATCCTGGCCTTGAGAGCTGACGGGAAGAGGGGCGAAGAGACACATCTAGTGAAACAGAGCGACCAATCAGGGTGACCAGAAAGACCTCTGGGAGCAAGGGGGCCCTCTCGAGGCTCTTTGGGGGGTCTCGGGGTCCTCTTGGGGCTCTTTTGGGGTGCCTTGCGGCTCATGATGCCCTCTTGGGGCTCTCTTGGGGCGCTCTTGGGAGCTATGGAGCGCCTTGGGGCCATCTTGGAGACCATCGATCAAAGGAGGGGGGGTCCCCCCCTCCAGGGTCATCGACGCAGCCTCTTGGGGCGCTCTTGGGGCCTTCTTGGGGCGCCCTTGGGGCAGTCTTGGGGGCACCTTGGGCCTTTCTTGGAGCTCTCTTGGGCCATCGTAGGGCCATCTTGAGGCCTCAAAAGCGCATCGGAAGCGAAAAGGCGAGAAGGCAAAAATCAGTGATGTCCCTAAGGTTCTTGAAGGACGTTGGCTTCCCGGGGAGGTCCTGAGGGGTCGCCAAAAGCACTTGGAACCGTCTTGTGGTTCTCTTGGGGCCTCTTGAAGGCATGTTGTTAGCTATGTTGAGGAATTTTGGGCTATCTTGAGCAATCTTGGAGGCTATGTTGGGCTCTCTGAGGCCCTCTTAAAGCCATCTCAGGCTATTTTGGGTGCCCGGACCGCTCGCGAAACCCCCTGTCCAGGTCCAGGGGAGGAGGGGAGGGGAGGGGGGAGGGGAAAAGCTACCCACCCACCCCTCAAGCCGTCTAGCTTATTCCCACCCGCCATCCCAACACATTAGTAACACCCAACCCTGAGCATGTTCAGCGGTCGTCTTTGGATGGACAGCTACTGGGAACCAAAGCCGACCCTAGGTGCGCGACGCTTGGGCGAGGTGCGCCACGCGTGCCCAGGGCGCCACGCGCGCCAGGCACCCCTGGGGCCCGAGCGTGCCAGGCACGCCTGGTGCGCCAGATGCGCCACGTGCTCCGAGTGCGCCAGGTGTGCCACACACTCCAGCCGCGCCAGGTGCGCCACGTTCGGGGCACATGCAGAGTGCGTCAGGTGCGCCTGCGCACGTGACAGCACACCTTGGAAACATGCCGCCCCCGCCATGCTTGTCGAAAACCAATGCCCATCATTGTGTCTAGTAGACCTGCGCACAGCAGACTACGCGCCACCACCCCCGCCGTCTCTGTCAAAAACCACTTGACAGTGATCGCGGGATGGCGGCGCATGATCCAGATTTAGCCGCGAGGTGCATGTTGCAATGTTTTTTGTCATGCATGGTAGCCCTGCGCACAGCAGGGAATATGCTGACACCCCCGCCGTCCCTGTCAAAAACAAGACTTTGCCCCAGAATGGACCTTGCATTGTTTTTTGAAAGGGATGTTGGGGGGGGGCCGCACCGGGTTGGCCGCGCATGCTCCAAATGTGGAGGCAGAGTACGGTCTGTACTGTTTTTTGACAGGGATGGTTGGGGGCGGGCCCGCATAGAGTCGGCATGGTTCCGGGTTGGCCGCCGGCCGGGTGGGGGAGGGTGCGTATATGAATAAGGAAAAGTGATAAGCCCTTCTCTGAAGGGGAAGAAGGGGCTGTGGAAGAGGAAAGGAATCGTTGGACCACATGTCGCCCAGAGGGCTGGTGGGGATGTGTTGGGCGTTCCGAGGTTTCGCCCGGTGCCCGCCTCGTGGGCGCCTCGCGGGCGCCCTGCTCTTGGGGGGGGTATGCCGGCGTTTCGCCTGGTGCCCGCCCATGGGCGCCTCGCGGGCGCCCCGCGCTGGGGGGGGTATGCCGAGGTTTCGCCAGGTGCCCGCCCGTGGGCGCCTCCTGGGCGCTCGCGGGCGCCCCCGCGCTGGAGGGGCATGCCGAGGTTCAGCCTGGTGCCCGCCCGAGGACGGACGCCTCGTGGGCGCCCCGCGCTGTGGGAGGGCGTGCCGAGCTGTCGTGTGGTGCCCGCCCGCAGGCGCGCCCCGAGCTCTTGGCATCGCTCGGACGTGTGCATGTTTCTTTCGGCGAGGGCCATCGAGGAGCCTCCCTGATCATGTGGCGAAAAAGAACCACGCACGAAACCAAGAAAAGCACAGGGAATGGACGTCCGAGCAATGCCAGGAACTGGCCACGCGCAGAAGGGGGTAGGGGGAGGGGGGAGGGCTTCTTAGAAGCACCCCTGCTTCTTAGAAGGCGCGGGCCTTCTTTGTAGATGTAAGGCCGGCGCCTTCTAAGAAGCAGCCTCCTTCTAAGAAGCCTTCCCCCCTCCCCCTACCCTCTTGTGCGCGCCGCCAAAGGAAGCTGTGGGGGAGTATGCCGGGTTTTCCTTTGGTGCCCTCCCGTGGGCACCCCGCGGGCGCCCTTGTGGCCTGCACCACGTCCACTGCGCACCAGAGCGTGCACCACAGAGCTTGCACCACGTCGCTCACACCACCTGGCTTGCACCACACACACCAAATCTCATAATAGTGGGGGGGGGGGGTCAAAAAGTGTTTGACGGCCGGTCTGGGACCCCCCCCCAAGACAGGCAACAAAAGGTCCAAGATCGAGACCCTCCCACAAATGTGTTTGACGAAGCCCGTGAGACCCCCCCCAGAAGCAGACCCCCCCCCAGTGTTATGAGATCCGGAGTAGCCTGCACCAAGCAGATTGCACAGCACAGCTCACACCACACAGCTTGCAGCGCATGGCGTGCACCACACTGCCCACACCACATCAGTTGCGCCACCTAGGTTGCACCACGCAGACTGCACCACGCAGATTGCTCCACATTGATTGTAGCACCTAGCTCGCAGATGATTGCACCGCGTAGCTTACACAACGGCAGCGCAATAACTTACTGTGTGGCGGCGCCCACGCTGGCTAACAATGAATCTAACATAACACCATCCCAGCAAGGCCCTTGTTCACCCCCCCCTCCCCATCCATGTCAAGTAAGACAATGCGGAGCTCCCGATTTAATCTTACGAGCGCATGTTCAATGACTTAATATAAAGTAATGCAGTGCATGCCAGGCCTTCGCGCACATGCGCAAATCTGTTTGGAACCAGCGGTGCTCATATTGGCTAAACCAACAACCATCAGCAACAATCGCTTGTCGGTCTAAGAGTCCAGGTTTCTCTGCGCTTGCACCCGCTGAAATCAGCAGGAAGCCATGCGGCCGCTGCCACTCTGTCACTTGAAGTCATATGCGGGCCACACGCGGACGCACAGCAGCCATCACGTGCCCGCAGACCCCGCCGATGCCTTGCTCCGGTCGCGCGGCCGCGCGGTTCCGCCACCGCATTTGGGCGGGCGGGGGGGGGGGGCGCCTCTGGAGGGGGGGGGTCACGGAGTCTCCCCTTCTTCCCCCAGCTTTGGGACCTCTTTCTGTTCGGCAGGCAGAACACGCAGGGATTCGGCGACAAAAAAGCTGAACGAATCTTGGGACCGATGCGTCGGGGGGGGGGTCTCCAGCAATTCCGCCATCGTGTGGCAGCTGTTCGAGAAAGCAGAGGGGGGCCTGCTGGGGGACAGAAGGCTCGAGCTCTCGGTGCGTGTTCCCCTCTCTGGGATCCCTCCTGGAACCTCCTTGAGCCGTCTTGGAGCCCTCTTGGAGCCCTCTTGGAGTCTCTTGAACCATCTCGGGGGGGTCTCGGGGGAGATTTGGGAGCCTCCTCTTGGGCCGTCCTGTAGCGTCGGAAGCTCGAAAGGGCGAGAAACCAAAAAAACATAGAAAAAGTGTCGGGGAATCCATGGCTGCTGCCGCTCAGGGCCAGCGTTGGGGCCTCGTGGGGGCCTTTTTTGCCCTTTGGGGCCTCTTGAGCCCTCTCGGGGCGGAAGGCTCGAACTGTCGGTTCGTGTTCACCCTCTTGGGCCCGTCTTGAGAAGGCTCTTGGGGCTCCCTTGAGACGCCTTGACGGCCTCGTGGGCCGTCTTGAAGCCATCTTGGGCCGTCTTGAGGCCAAAGTGTCCCGTCTTGGAGCGAGATTGGGCCGTGTTGGGGGCATCTGGGCCGCGGGAGCGCGAATCTGCCGTATTTTGCGACAGGGTTTGGGCCTCGGGAAGAGGGGGCGATGCATGCAACGCGATGCTACGAGAGGGGGGGCCTTATTACGGAAACCCGACCAGACAGACTTGGGTATGTTTCCACGCCTCCACGTGCGCAAGGCAGGGTGGCGATCGTTTCGCAAAAAGCACAATGGCCCGACGCACACCAACCGGTGCAAGCGCGGTGTTCAATTTTTGGGCCACACACTTGCGCGTCCCCGCTCGCGCATATCGAAATTACAAAACCATGGATTATCTAAGCATGTCAAGGTACAGGTGGTCAAACCATGTGGAAAGCAGTTGCTTAACATTAAGAGCAGGGTCGAGTTTCCGCGCGCGCGCACTTCCTCGCCATCATCATCAGCATAATCGCCAGCGTTTTCGTCGCCATCATCATCATCATCATCAGCAGCATCATCACTATGATTATTATCGTCGTCGTCATCATCATCATCATCATCATCAGCAGCATCGTCATCATCATCAGCATCATCAGCTGCACCGTAGTCGTCGTCGACACCATCGTCATCTGCATCGTCATTGTCGTCACAATCGTCATCATCGCCACCATCATCATCTTCGCCGTCGTCGCCGATGTTCTCGTCACAACCATCATTCACCCGCACGAGGCATGAATCTGCATGATACGTGTCCTCGCGTCACTGCGCCAGTTGAATTTTGCCAGCAGGTTGCGGCCGGGTGAGTGGGATGTTTCTTCGAACATCGGAGTCAAGTTATCTAAAGGTGAATTGCACCACATAGTTCGCACCTCATAGATTGCACCACGTAAGTTGCACCACGTCGAATGCACCATACGGGCCAAAGAAGAGCAGGAGGGCGAACGCCCGAAGCAGGAGACAGTCACAACGAGAAGGTGCCACGGCATCGCCTTCGGAAGTGTAAGGGCGCAGCGTAGACGGAGCGCGGAGGAGTCGAGCGAGGTGGGAAGGCAGACGGCAGATTCACCATCACGCGTTGCATTTGCAGGACTTGCGTCTTGGTCGTGGGCGGCGAGAACGGCGAGGAGGAGTGGGAGCAGGCTGGGCGCGCCAGTGTCCTGCTTCATTGTCCGCCCGCCGATTCCACGCTGCACGAGGGGCCAGAAGAGCTGGTGTTCGAGCATAGCCCCCCTTGTCGAACGCAGCCAATCAGCTTTCACGCCGAAGATCGGCAGAAGACCGCCGAAGACCGACCGAAAGCGATGGGTGAGGAGGGTCCCAGGGTCGAATCGTGAGAGCTTGTGACCCGGAGCGCGCCTGGCTGCGGCGCAGGAGGTGGACCGGAGAGCGCGTGCCAGCAGGGCCCCAGGGGGCAGGATTGCGGCAGTGTCCAGAGGCCACCGCGAGCGGCGGAGCAGCTTGTGGGCGCTTCGCTGCTGCAGCTTGCGCGACGGCGCACGGCGAGCGAGTGATCACCCTAGGGAGCTGAAGTGCACGAACGGCCAGGTGCCTTTCCAGCGCCCGATCCTGCTGCGGTCGTGCAAGTGCACGCCAGGCTTCTGCACTTGCATCCAGCGCGCGGCATCCGGATGTTCCACACGTGAGTCCACACATGTGTGTGCGTGTGCGTGTGCGTGTGCGTGTGCGTGTGCGTGTGCGTGTGTGTGTGTGTGTGTGTGTGTGTGTGTGTGTGTTCCAGCTTCTTTTTTCGAAACGTGAGCGATGTTTTCTGCGTATCGGTGCTGATCATGCGGGCACTGATCGAAGAAAGCAGAGCTGGATGAGGCAGACGTGCGGCAGTTCGACAATGTCCTCGTCTACGACGCGGAGGACTTTCCGAGAGGGGCCAGGGCCCAGACCTCGGAAAGGTTGTAGCACGGGGTCGCGTCGAGGGCGGCAGACAGAACAGGTGCAGGGGCATGTGAACCAGGTGTCAGGGGCAACGATATTGGGGGGGGGCAATAGGACTAGGGAGGGATGCATCGACCCCCAAACGTCCACTGATCGCCGACAGGGGCCCGATAGCCCCAACCTGCCCAGGAGCGTGCGGATTCACTATCAGGGGGCCTATCGCCGATCTAGCGGCGATGCATCGCCGATTCCCGGTCGATGTGTCCCCTCCTGTGCCAGTCCCCCCCGACCGTTGCCCCTCATTGTGAGGCATGGGTAGGCGTAATGATGTCGGAAGCGTTGGTTTCCGATTGATCCAGGAAGGGTTATTGCCAGCGGGCACGCTCACAGGATCAGGTCGGGGGACAGTGACGCATTGCACGAAGTGGTCACGCTGGGCGAAGACGCTAGAGCGTAATCGCAATAGTGATGGCGCGGCATGATGATGACAAGGCGCACATGGCTTGCAGCATGAAGATTCCAGCGGTTGAGGTTTCAGGTGGATCTAGAACATGCGTGCCGCTGTTCAGGATTGCATGTGGCAGTCAGAGGAGATTGTCCCACCGATGCTGGCGCCCCGAACGGTCCCGACCTGACGCAGTTGCATTGCCGTGCCATGTCGAGCAAGTGTGCAATATGGTGGCCACTCTGCATACATTTGCTATACGTAGTGTTGGCATGGAGTCATTGTTTCAGGCAGCCAATTGTGTTTCTGTTGGCGTTGGCCTGGGGACATGGCTTGGTGATGATAAAATCGTTCTCGGCCACCACTGGCCGCACTGCACCGATGGCTGCGTGGTCGTGTGGCAAGCACACGCACCCGATACACACTACATCTTAGAGGCCCACGTATGTCTCTTGCTAGGTCGGTGCAGCAATGAGTTTTACAGAGCGGGGGGAGGAGTGAGTGCGAATCCGCGTCCAGTTCTGCATGAGTGTGCAGCGTTATGTCAGACGCCATGACGTGAGCTCTGCGGAGCACTAACAATACGGAGTGACACTGTTGATACGAGCGCCCCCAACGCGATTGCGAACGCCGAACACATCAGCAGCGTTTGGCAATGCAGCACCGTAGTGTGCTCATCCTGTTCTGCGTCTGTGCTGATGGTGCACGCATGATGGTAATTACAGATTTTCTCGCGCACGCCGTCCTCACACTCATATTCCGTCTCCTCCTCCTCCTCCTCCTCCTCCTCCTCCTCCTCCTCCTCCTCCTCCTCCTCTCCTTCTCCTCCTCCTCCTCCTCCTCCTCTCCTCTCTCCTCCTCATCCTCCTCCTCCTCCTCCCTCCTCCTCCTCCTCCCCCCCCCTCCTTTAGAATACCCCCAGGATCCCGAGTAAACCTTCAATAACTTGTGGACATAATCATCCTCCTCATCCTCCTCCTCCTCCAACTCCTCCTCATCTTCATCCTCCTCCTCCTCTTCCTCCTCCTCCGCTCATCCCTCCAGCTCACCCTCCCATCCCTTCCCCCATCCGCCTCTTCCAATCTCCTCCCTTTTCCCCTCCTCCTCCTCCTCTTCCTCCTCATCATCCTCCTGGCGGCGCCAGGCCATGGCCGTCTGCGTCGGGCGCGGCAGCATAAGAGGCTCGCCCAGCCATGCGCCCAAGCACCTCGCTTCTCGTACGGGGAGTGTGGCCAAGAAGTGCACTTCATCTTCCTCCACCTCCTCCGCATCGTCATCATCACCACCACCATCATCAGCAGCAGCAGAATCAGCATCAGCGTCAGCATCGTCATCATCAGCAGCAGCAGCAGCATCATCGTCATCATCAGCATCATCATCGTCGTCATCATCAGCATAAGCATCATCAGCAGCATCATCAGCATCAGCAGCATGAACATCATCATCATCATCATCATCAGCATCATCATCAGCATTATCATCGTCATCATCAGCATCATCATCGTCGTCATCATCAGCATCAGCATCATCAGCAGCATCATCAGCATCAGCAGCATGAACATCATCATCATCATCACCATCATCATCATCATCATCATCATCATCCTCATTATCATCCTCATTATCATCATCATCATCACCATAATCAGCATCATTATCATCATCATCATTATCATCATCATCATCAGAACCATAATCATCATCATCATCGTCATCATCATCATCATCAGAACCATAATCATAAGCATCGTCATCACCATCGGCATCATCATCATCATCATCATCGTCATCATCATCATCATCATCGTCATCATCATCATCAGCAGCGTCATCGTCAGCATCATCATCAGCAGCAGCATCAACATCCGGATCATCATCCTCCTACTCTTCTTCCATTTCCCCCTCCCTCTCCTCTTCCTCCTGCTCCTCATCCTCATCCGGTGCCTCCCCCTCCTCCTCCTCCTCATCATCATCATCATCATTACCATCAGCATCATCATCATAAGCAGTAGCACCATCGTCATCATCATAATCAGCATCATCAGCATCACCATAATCATCATCAACATCAGCATCATCCTCATCATCATCATCATCAGCATCATCATCTGCAGCAGCATCGTCATCATCAGCATCGACATCATCATCACCACCATCATCATCAGCAGCAGCATACTCATCATCATCCGTCGTCTTCTCTTCCTCCTCCTCCTCCTCCTCCTCCTCCTCCTCCTCCTCCTCCTCCTCTGGGATCAGGAGCGGGGGCGAGGAGGAGCAGGAGAAAGAGCAGCAACATGTTCGGAAGGAAGAAGGAGGAGGAGGAGAAGGAGGAGGAGGAGGAAGAGGAGAGGAGAAGGAGGAGGAGGAGAAGGAGGAGGAGGAGGAGGAGGAGGCGGGGGAGGAGGAGGAGGAGGAGGAGGAGGAGGAGGGGAGGAGAGGAGGAAGGAGGAGGAGGAGGAGGAGGAGGTAGGAGGAGGAGGAGGAGGGGAGGAGGAGGAGGAGGGAGGAGGAGGGGGGAGGAGGAGAGGAGGAGGAGGAGGAGGAGAGGAGGGGGGGAGGAGGAGGGGAGGAGGGAGGAGGGGAAGGAGGGAGAGGAGGAGGAAGGAGGAGGAGGAGGAGGGGGAGGAGGAGGAGGAGGAGGAGGAGGAGCGGAGGAAGATGAGGAGGAGGAGGAGTGCAGGAGTGCAGGCTTCGCAATGCCGTCCTACGGAGGAGAAGGAGGAGGAGGAGGAGGAGGAGGGGGAATGGGACGGAGAGGAGGAGGGGGAGGAGGAGGAGGAGGAGGAGGAGGAGGAGGAGGAGGAGGAGTAAGGATGGTTCCTGGGGACCCCAAATACGTCTGGAAGGCTCCAGCGGGCTCTGGAGGTTGCTGGAGGTGCAGGAGGAGGGGAGGGAGGTTTAAGGAGTCAGAAGGGGTTGAAGGTGGAAGAGGATCAGCACGAGGAATAATAAGGAGGAGAGGGGTGGTGGGGTGGTTATTCGCTTCGTCTTCTTCTTCTTCATCATCATCGTCAGCATCATCATCATCATCATCATCATCATCATCATCATCATCATCAGCATCATCAGCATCAGCATCAGCATCATCATCATCCCTCCCCTCCCCTCCCCCTCACCCCTCCCACCCTCCTCATCATTATCCTCGTGTCATACCCGTCTCATATCTCTTCTAGGCATCGGGTTGTGTGGCCAAATTGCCCTCCGAGGAAGCCCGAGGCGCGGGTCGCGGCTTGGGGCGCCGTTGGAGGTGATGTTGGGTGTCGAGACCGCGCCAATCTAACGTGGAGGGCCTGCTTAGGCCAGCCAACAACACAGTCAACACACACACAGTACGGACGCAATGCATCATCAATGCTACCCATTTGCGTGCGTCTGCTTCCGCAAGGGCCATAATTTCTCCGCCCTAGCTGGAGCCAGCAGCAGGCAGCATAATATCGTGGCGGGACCATTGGAGCATAGCGCGTGGACAGAACACTTCATCTGGGAGACCCTTGCATCCTTTCATCTTGCCTTTCGTCCTTTTTGGCCAGGTGTTGTTCACAATGGACGCCCGAGGGTCCTGCGTCTTCACCGTGGATGTCGATTACACCTCTGGGGAGGAATCGCTTGTCCGCGACGCTGATCCTTGCCACCATCCTCCCTCCCCTCCTCGTCTCTCCTTATGTTCCTCCCAGTGCCTCTCCAACTCTCCCCCTTTGATTCCCTCCTTCCCTCCACATCTCCTCTCTCTCTCTCTCAATCTCTCTCCCCTCCCCCCTGCGGAGTCAGGTTCCTCCCCCCATCGTCCCTCACTCCCCCTCCCGAGCTGCCTGTCTGCCTCCGTCCGTGTCGCACCCCCACTCCAAGATGTCCAAACTGATCGGTGTTGTGTTATGTGTGTACTACGGTTGCGTGCCATGGTATGGATGTGTGTTACGTGTGTTATGCTTGTGCGCGTTACAAGTGTGGATTGTGTTAGTGTGCCCTGGTTGTGCGTTACGTGTCTTGTGTGTGGGTGATGGTTGTGTGTGATGTGTTTGTGCGTTGCGTGTGTGTGTGTGTGTGTGTGTGTGTGCTATGTCGGTGTGTGTGTGTGTTATGTGTTCGGCTGTTTGTGTGTGGGCGTTTGTGTATTGTGTGTGCGTGGTGTTGTGTGCTGTACGTGTGCGCGTGTTATGGCTGTGGGCGTGTCATGGCTTCATGTGTGGAATGTTGCGTGCGTGTATGTGTGTGCGTGTGTGTGCTAGTTTTGTGTGTGGTCTGAGTTTGTCTCATGTGTGTTACGCGTGTGTACGATGCTTGTATGTTATAGGTGCGCGAGTAGTACGTTGTTGTTTACTGTGCATGATTGTATGTTATGTTCGTATGTTTGTCTGCGTGCGTGTTGTGTGTGTGCTATGGTTGTGTATTTGTGTGTGCGTTATCGAAGACGCCTACGGCGAGTCACCGCCGCCCCCTGCCTTTCTGGAATCGCCCATCCAGCCGAAAGTTGAACTAGAGCTTGGCCAAGCTATCGGATCATGTGTTCCCCCAGCCGTTGTGGAAACCCTTCGGGGAACACGTGAGGAAGAGGATAATGAGGAGAGGAAAGGGAAAGTGAGAAGGAGGAGGAAGAGGATGAGGAGAAGGATGAAAAGAAGGAGGAGGAGTAGATCTGTTGGGAGCCTCTTGGGGTACTCTGGGGGCCTCTTGGGAGCTTTCTGGGAGCCTCTTGGAGGCCTCTTGGGGGTCTCCTTCGGCCTCTTGGGGGCTTGTTCTGGGCTTCTTTGGTCGTCTTCAGGCGTTCCTGGGCCGTCGGGAGCCGTCTCGGGTGCCTCTCTAGGACCGTCTTGGAGCCCTATTGGGGTGCTGCAGGGCCGTCTTGGAGGCCAGCTTGGCCGTCTGGGAGGCCTTGTGGGCCTTCTTGGACCCCACTCTGGGCCGTCTTGGGGTGGGGGTCTCTTGGGCCGACTTGGGGCCATCTTGGAGGCCTCGTGGCCGCTCCGGGGACGATTTTTTGGGCCTCTTGGGCCGTCTTGAGCCGTCGGATGACCGAGAAGAAGCGAATGCCAAAATCCTTCAAACACTTAAGGCGAATCAATGGATTTGGCCTCCTCGGGCCCTCCTGGAGGCCCTCTTGGAGGCCTCTTGGGCCGTCTTGGAGGCCACTTGGGGGCCTCTTGGGCCGTCTTGGAGGGCATCTCGGACCGCCTTCGGCGAACTTGAAAGCCAGACTGCCCTCCTGGAGGCCATCTTGAGCCGTCTTGTCAAGCAGTGGCGAAGCGTCCTGGTTCGCCGATAGGCCTACCAAACAATTTTCTAAGAGCGTTTTGTGGTTTCCACGAAATGTTCTTAGAACATTTCTGGCGGAGCCTGTCTTGTTCATCACATCGGGTTGTTGTTCTAAGAACATTGTTTTTTCCCAACCATCCTGTGGTGTTGGGTCCTCGTTTTGAAGAGACGGTGGCCCGCGTCTCCCCTCCTCTCCTCCTCCTCCCCCTCCTTCCCCCTCTTCTCCTCCCCCCTCCCGTCACTCCTCCCGCCTCCCTGCGTTTCACCCACCCAGTACAGCGCTTCGTGGCCCCATAGGGAGCTCCACCGAAGGCGCCAGTGGCAGCGTTCGCATGGCGGCCCCGCCCCATTTTGGCGCACCCCTCACACGGTTCGTGGCCCCATAGGAGCTCCACCGAAGGCTCCAGTTGCAGCGTTCGCATGGCGGCCCCGCCCCATTTCAGCACACTCCTCACGAGGATCGTGGCCCCATAGGGAGCTCCACCGAAGGCCCCAGTGGCAGCGTTCGCATGGCGGCCTCGGGCCATTTCGGCACACCCCTCACGAGGATCGTGGCCCCATAGGGAGCTCCACCGAAGGCCCCAGTGGCAGCGTTCGCATGGTGGCCCCGCCCCATTTGGGCGCACCCCTCACGAGGATCGTGGCCCCATAGGGAGCTCCACCGAAGGCCCCAGTGGCAGTGTTCGCATGGTGGCCCCGCCCCATTTGGGCGCACCCCTCACGAGGATCGTGGCCCCATAGGGAGCTCCACCGAAGGCCCCAGCGGCAGCGTTCGCATGGTGGCCCCGTTCCATTTCGGCACACCACTCACACGGTTCGCGGCCCAATAGGGAACTCCACCGAAGGCGCCAGTGGCAGCGTTCGCATGGCGGCCCCGGGCCATTTCGGCACACCCCTCACGAGGATCGTGGCCCCATAGGGAGCTCCACCG